TCAATAAATCAAATTTGCAGATATTTCCATTTCACCAAACTTTCTCTAAGTCATAATATATATTTTAAATTCATGGCATTTTGTTAGGCTAGATATGTTGACTTTTATTTACCACAATATTCTGATTATATAAATTAGGATTACCCAGCTATCATACATTCTTCTTTTTACTGCCCTCCTTTATGAGGGGGAGGTAAAAATCATCATAAAATGTGTGATGCAATTTACAGATGAACCCTCTCTCTCTCTCTACCCCCCCCCCCCCTATATATATATGTATATCTACATAATCTCTAAAATCATGTTGGTACCTCTACCTGTTTGAATGTTAGGCCCCTTTCCTTCAACTGTTTCTGTGTGGATCTTCTCTAAATGACGTCACGCATTTTTTTGACGATTTTTACCTCCCCCCCTCCCCCTACACATCGTCACAAAAATCCAGACCCCCACCCCCTAAAATGACGTCACACAGTACTAGATTCTAGATCTAAATTACTACAGTTGCCTACACTCTAGATTTAGTTCTTAAGTTCTACAACAAGACTACACTAAACTTCGCTAGATCTAGAATAATCTAGATTCTATATATAAATTGATATTGAACATATTCTAGTCTACCTGTCTTAAAGTAAATAGCCTATTTAGTAATTAATTCCACTCAACTACACTGTAAAATAAAAGAAACTAGATCTAGAATCTAGATCTCTAGACTACTCTTGAGTCTATAAATTAAAAATAAATCCTGTATGTCGTATGTTACTAAGTCGGAATTTTCAAGAGGGTTTTTTTTAAAGTCATAGATCTAGATATAGAATTCTAGATCTAGAAATCTAGACTCTAGATCTAGGCTATATATATTTATTAATTAAATTATTTAAATTAGGCTTGATTTCAGATATACGATTGAAATCTTTTAGGCCTATAAATATCATATTTTATATAGATTATTATAGATGTATTATTATTATACAGGTTGTATTCTAGATCTATCTAGATCTATATAAAATATAATATATTTGTGTGTGTGTGTGTTATTTTAAACTTAATTTACTTAAAACAACTTATTGTCGGAGTTTTTTTTATTCCAAAAACGAAAGTAGATTTCATAACTTAAAAAAAAAAAAAAAAAATATTCACATTTGGTTTGAAAAAACAAAAAAACGCCAGCTGGCAACTACCGGAGCGAGAACTTGGTAAGCTACTTTAACAACTTACAAGCCCAATACCATTGTGTCAAATTGATTTTTACTAGCCACTATACTCTAACCTGAAAACCTGCATACACCTTTGCTGAAAAGGTAGCATTTGTCTCATTAAGTGCTAAAATTAATTATTTATTATTTACCTCCAGACATGTGCTGCTAAAAATGTTAATATACACTGCGGTATTACCTCCAGATATATGCTGCTAAAAACCTCTATATAGTATATAGTATACTACTGTGGTATTACCTCCTGACATATGTTACTTAAAATTTTAATAATAATATAGTACAGTGGCGTAGCCAGGATCGTCTCATGGGGGGGGTTCCAATTTTTTTCCAGCATTTTATATATATATATATATATATATATATATATATATATATATATATATATATATATATATATATATATATATAGACGCAATAACAGTACTAGAACACACAAACAGATAAAAGTACTTATAACATTACTTACCTATAATCGTAGTTCAAGTCTTCTTGGACTCTTGGCTAATTCATCAAGAACCTCATCCGCTAAAATTTCAATTTGTCGGTGAATATTTAATAATGCCAATCCATTTAGTCTATCCTCGCAAGTAGTATTTCGCAAGTACGTTTTTAGCCGTCTGAGAGTGGAAAAAGAGCGTTCGCTAACGGCAGTTGTTACAGGCAATGTTACAAATATTTGCAGTAGTTTGTGTACTGTTGGAAATATTTTTACGTCACACATTAAAAAAGCTTGATGAGCGTTTTGCGGTACATTTCCACTTGTAATAATGTGGCGCCACCACAGTTTCAGTTCTCCAATGCTTTCATCGATGACACTGCTGTTAATCAAACGTTCATATTTTTGCATAAGTGTTATGGCATTCTTTTCCTGTTCTTTGGTAAAACCCGAGTCATTGGGTAAAAGACACATAAAACCTCTCAAAACAGATTTATGTTTTAGCAATCTGTCTCCTATTTGACATATAACCGAATCAAGGAAAGGAATAAATACAGCTATTCTGTAATACTCTTCAGGCGTATTTGCCATAACATTGCAGCGTTGAATTTGTTTTCCAGCTCGACGTGGAATAAGTATATCTATGTCGAAGTCCTCACAAATGTCTTTGACTTCATTAAATACGGTAGTAAATTCTGATTCAGCATCCTTCCGCATATTCACTAGTAGGCTACTTGAATCTTCTGTAAATTTTAGAGCCGCAGATAGATCAAAGTTTTCTGTTTGGAGTATTCTGCTGACAGGAAGTGTTATTGCAAAGATTTTTGAGATAACTCTAAGAGAAACTTGAAACTCAAGACTCCTAATTGCTCCTAAAAGTTGAACCGCTGTTGAAGAAGTTGTTGTATCGTGCCAGGATGACATAATTTCCAGTGCATCAACAGTTGCTTTTTGAAGCTGTATAAAAACGTTGACAGACTCATGACGCTCAATCCATCTGGTTGCGCACAATCGTTTAAGTCGAGATGCTGATGCTTTAGGTGTTAATTTCTCTATTGAATTTGCAAGCAAAGATTGTCGTTTTGGTGTGTTAAAAAAGTTGTATGTACTATTAAGAATTCCCATACAGTTTCTCACAGCTGGTAGTTCGCAGGCATCAGAAAGTGCTAGGTTTAGACTGTGAGATGCGCAATGCACGTAAATAGCCAAATCAAATTTCTCAGCAACATATTGTTGCGCCCCATGAAGTCGACCACTCATTGCAGCGGCTCCATCATATCCTTGACCTATCATAAAATTACCGTCTATGTGTAAATTTGCTAGAGTGTCCATTAAAACATTTGCAAGTCCTTTGCCTGTTAGATCAGTTACACCTACAAACTGTAGGAAATCCTCCCTTATTTTCTTTATGTCGTTATCATAGTAGCGAACACACAACGAAAATTGCTCCATACCAGCTATATCACTAGTTTCATCGGCTAAGACAGAAAACAATTTAACAGAAGTAATTTTCGCAACAATCTTTTGAACAATTAATTTATTGCACACATTTATCACTTCATTCTGAATGGTGGGACTTAAGTATCTTGCATTTTTTGAAGAATTTTCTAGATGATGTTTAAGTGTTTCGTCTCCACCCATGGCTTTGTATCTTAAAAGAGCTCGAAAATTTCCATCATTTTCGTCAGGATCCTCCAACTGAAAATTTCCGAAATCCCTGTGCCCCCTAAGTGCAAGACCTTGTCGGCCGCAAAAAATTATAGTTTCTATTATGGGCGCTAACTTTAAACGATTTTCTAGAATTTGTTGACTTACTGATGAGTTCAAGGCGATGTTAATAGGTTCTATTTTTTTCTCCATAACCGATTTACGATTTTGGGAAAGTAAAATTGCTCTTTTATGATATTCACATTGCTGGTGCTCATTAAACTTGTCTGTTGCCTTTTTCCAGTTTGAAAATGGAATTTTTGATAACTTACCTAAAGGCTGACTACCTACACCACCATAATTCAAACTAAACAAAACACAATATTTGCAAAATGCGCCATCAAGTAATTTGGAATAAGTCAACCAGTTCCACCTAAGTAGCCACGAATATTGAAACTTTAAATTTCTTTGTCCGCTTGCTGGAAATTTAAAAAGTTCTTCGGGACGCCAGATGTTTTCTAATAAATACAACCGTGTATCATCTGTAATAACTCCTTTGATAAAATTGCCGATATCATTTGCATAAGAAACAGTCAAAGGTGCTGAATTTATGGAAATTTCTTGATGTAATGTAGTTTGAGAGTCAATAGTACCATCTTCATTTTTATCATTTTCAGTTTTATTTTTCTTTGTAAAGAAATCAGTTAATAAAGTAGTTTTAAATTTCCTTTTTCCACCCGACATCATTAAAATGAATTTAAATTGCTTTAATTATCAAAAAGATACACATTAAAACACGACTATGCGAATAAGAAAATAAATAATTATTGGTCTTTCTTTTCTGACTGTCTAAAAATGAATACTGTAGGTTCCTGGCTCTACATCTATATTTAACCACCTACGCAGTTTTTATATCTACCAACACTAAGTTTTGTGTCAACAATTGTGGGTCCAGCCCACGCTTTCCTGCCAGATGTGCATCCGGTAGTAATTGAGACGTACCCATATTCAAACCCACCCTCACCCCCCCCCCCCTGTCACACCCTTTAACTGATAACCTTGTGTCCTCTGCCATCTTTATCATTTTCAGTTTACTTATCTTTTTAAAAATTAAATAGTTTTCAGTTTCCCTGTTTCATCCGCCATTAGTGAAATGAATTTCAAATGTTTTGAAGTAGTAAAAACATACACATTATAGAACCTCAATGCGAATAATAATCAATTCCTTCGTTGTTGTTTTTTTTTAAATTTCTAGGCGCTTTCCGGTTGCACTACAATCATATTAGACAACAAAGGCCTACCCACGTAGCCCACCCCTCCCCATTCGACACTCCTTAACTGATCTAACCTTGGCCAACTTTCCCTTGGCCTACTGCGTTCCAGATTATTATACTTAACTTTAGCACGATAATAAAATTCATAACTAAATTCTACAGGCAATTCTCATCACAATGATATACATTGTTGTTCTAGAGGCTGCCAGGTTAAGTGTTTAGTGTTTAAGCCCTAAATAATATCGACACAAGTCAATAGCTGTAGCTTAACGTAAAAAGGTAGTCATATTGGGGGTACATGGGGGGGGGGGGTTATAACCCCCCCTAACCCCCCCTGCCTACGCCACTGATATAGTATAGCCTACTACTGTGGTATTACCTCCAGACATATGCGGCTTAAAATGTTAATATACTGTGGTAATACCTCAGACATATGCTGCTTAAAATGCAGAAAGAGCTGAGGACTCTGAATGTCCAGAAGAAAAGGTTGGTGCTAGAACAAGAGAAACAGGCTCGGATAAAGCAGCACATTATGGAAGGTACAAGGGCAGGTTTGTTTATATTTATCTTTCTATACCATATACATTTAAAGGGAAGCTAGTATTGTTTCAAATTATGAGTTGTGTCCCTTTGTATAACTATATAAATTTATTATTTTTTTTTAGAACCTCCACTTTTTTTTTTGGTTCTGGATTAAGATTTACAAAAAGCTAGCATGTAGAAAATGTATCACCTTAACACATTACAACATAAGCATGATAATCATTCTATTTGCTTTATAAATAAAAATAGAAGTTTAAGCCCTTACAAAGTAAAGATTTTTTTTTCCCACTGGTGTGAGAATATACTTGAACTTTTGAATATTTTGTTGCCCCTCACAAATTTTTCTTCACATTAGATATGTTACTCACGCCATGAACTCTGTGAATTTCAGGTCACGTGACTCCACGGGAAACACCCCACGCTGGACCAAACCTGTACACCAGGGCTAGTACAGTGCACGGGTCACGCCCCACCCTCAGCATACCTGTCCCCACACCTGTCTCCTCACGCCCCCACACTGCCACGGGGGGCCCCGAGACCCACCCTCCGCAGCCACTGCAGGTCCAGGTGAAGCCACATCCTCCTCCGATGAGCCTACAGCAGCAGATTGAGAAGGCGCTGGAGTTCAGGGCTAGGCAGCAAGAGGTGGAGGCCAGCCTGAGGGGCAAACAGGAGCTGGGGCATAAAAAGTCTTTCAGGTTGGTGGGGGAGGGGGGGGGGGGCAAACAGGAGCTGGGGCATAAAAAGTCTTTCAGGTTGGTGGGGGGGGGGGGAGGGGGGGAAGAAGGGCAAACAGTAGCTGGGGCATAAAAAGTCTTTCAGGTTGGTGGGGTGGGGGAGAAGGGCAAACAGGAGCTGGGGCATAAAAAGTCTTTCAGGTTGGTGGGGGGGGGGAGGGGGGAAGAAGGGCAAACAGTAGCTGGGGCATAAAAAGTCTTTCAGGTTGGTGGGGGGGGGGAGGGGGGGAAGAAGGGCAAACAGGAGCTGGGGCATAAAAAGTCTTTCAGGTTGGTGGGGGGGGGGAGAGAAGGGCAAACAGGAGCTGGGGAATAAAAAGTCTTTCAGGTTGGTGGGGGGGGGGGAGGGGGGGCAAACAGGAGCTGGGGCATAAAAAGTCTTTCAGGTTGGTGGGGGGGGGAGAGAAGGGCAAACAGGAGCTGGGGCATAAAAAGTCTTTCAGGTTGGTGGGGGGGGGGGAGAAGGGCAAACAGGAGCTGGGGCATAAAAAGTCTTTCAGGTTGGTGGGGGGGGGGGGCAAACAGGAGCTGGGAAATAAAAAGTCTTTCAGGCTGGTGGGGGGGGGAGGGGGGGGGCAAACAGGAGCTGGGAAATAAAAAGTCTTTCAGGTTGGTGGGGGGAAAGGGCAAACAGGAGCTGGGGCATAAAAAGTCTTTCAGGTTGGTGGGGGGGGGGGGGGCAAACAGGAGCTGGGGCATAAAAAGTCTTTCAGGTTGGTGGGGGGGGGGGGGAGGAAGGGCAAACAGGAGCTGGGGAATAAAAAGTCTTTCAGGTTGGTGAGGGGGGGGGGGGGGCAGTCTTTCAGGTTGGTGGGGGGTGGGGGGGGGGCAAACAGGAGCTGGGGCATAAAAAGTCTTTCAGGTTGGTGGGTGGGGTGGGCAAACAGGAACTAGGGCATAAAAAGTCTTTCCGGTTGGTGGGGGGGGGGGCAAACATGAGCTGGGGTATAAAAAGTCTTTCAGGTTGGTGGGGGGGGGGGAGGATGGGGCGGGGGGGGGGGGGCAAACAGGAGCTGAGAAATAAAAAGTCTTTCAGGTCTCATGTTGGGGGGGGGGGGGAGGTAAGACGAGGCAAAGTTGAACTTGGGCATAAAAAGTCTTTCAGGTTGGTGAAACCATTGGGTCTATGTGGGTGTTGCACAGGCACCTAACCCAGGGGGCATATGAACAATGAATGTGAAAAATGGAAAGTGGAATGTTTTAGTGGTGATTATTTTTTTTTTCATTTTAAGTTGGTATCTAATTTTTTTTTCTCTTATAGATGTCGACTCAGACAATCCAATGATAAAAAACTAAATGCCCCCGACATTTCACCTGATATTGACCCATGGCAAATTGACCCGCGTAACCCACACGCCATGAGACCTAAGTCCAGCAAATCTATTCCAAGCAAATGCCAGTAAGTTTCTGTGTTTTTAAAATGAAAGAAAAATTATGATAACTTTTATTAGTTTGTATGCTATATGGCATTTTTTTAATTTAAAAATTAAACAAACTAGAACATATGCCATTCCTAAAGATTGTATGCTATATGGCATTATTTATGTAAAAAATAAACAAACTATAACATATGCCAGTCCTAAAGATTTAAGCTATGTGGCATATTTCTATGAAAAAAACACACACAGACAAGAAACTGATTATCCCTGATTATATTTGTGAAAAGGTGGATTTTGTTTTTCCATACGCATCCCAGTCCAATTCCAAACTTGTTTTAAAATTATTTTTTTTTACAATTGTAGCCTATTGTATTTCTTGCAGTTAGTATTTACTGCTCCTAGTCCAATTCCAAACTTCTGAAAAAAAAATTACAATTGTAGCCTATTGTATTTCTTGCAGTCAGTATTTACTGCTCCTAGTCCAATTCCAAACTTCTGAAGAAAAAAAAATTACAATTGTAGCCTATTGTATTTCTTGCAGTCAGTATTTACTGCTCCTAGTCCAATTCCAAACTTCTGAAAAAAAAAATTACAATTGTAGCCTGTTGTATTTCTTGCAGTCAGTATGTTTGTAGCCTATTGTATTTCTTGCAGTCAGTATGTTTGTAGCCTGTTGTATTTCTTGCAGTCAGTATGTTTGTAGCCTGTTGTATTTCTTGCAGTCAGTATGTTTGTAGCCTGTTGTATTTCTTGCAGTCAGTATGTTTGTAGCCTATTGTATTTCTTGCAGTCAGTATGTTTGTAGCCTGTTGTATTTCTTGCAGTCAGTATGTTTGTAGCCTGTTGTATTTCTTGCAGTCAGTATGTTTGTAGCCTGTTGTATTTCTTGCAATCAGTATGTTTGTAGCCTGTTGTATTTCTTGCAGTCAGTATGTTTGTAGCCTGTTGTATTTCTTGCAGTCAGTATGTTTGTAGCCTGTTGTATTTCTTGCAGTCAGTATGTTTGTAGCCTGTTGTATTTCTTGCAGTCAGTATGTTCTGGTGACCCGACCCAAGACCCAGCTGGACCTGCCCATGCCCACCCCCCTGGAGGAGCAGCTGCTGGCCTTGAGGTTCCCCGACCAGGGGGAGAAGGTGTTTAGGCAGTACGAGGGTTTGCTTTTCCGACCCCCACACCGGCCGGTCTATGGGATACAGTACAGTCCCTTTGAGCACCAGCTTTATGGATGAATTAGGGACTTTAGACTGCATGGATTATGGGCTTTTTAAATGTATGAATGAGGGCTTTTGACTGCAAAGATTATGGGCTTTTTAATGGATAAATGAGGGTTTTTAGACTGCATGGGTTAAGGGCTTTTTAATGGATAAATCAGGGCTTTTAGACTGCATGGGTTATGGGCTTTTTAAATGGATGAATGAGGGCTTTTATACTGCATGGGTTATGGGCTTTTTAAATGGATAAATGAGGGCTTTAGACTGCAAACGTTATGGGCTTTATAAATGGATGAATGATGTCTTTTACTATTAAAAAAAAAAACAACTGCATATGCTGGTATTAAAAAGAGTTTTGGGCTTTTTAGATGGATGAATGATGTCTTTTATGACTGTATGGGTCTTGGACTTTTAAAATGGATGATTGTGTAGATGTATTTTTTAATGCTATTTTGGATCCTTGCTTTTAGTCCAAATGAATCTGTATAGTTTTCTAATTATTATTTATTGGTAGCTAATCATAAAAAGTGTTGCTTTAACAATTAATTGGTGTATAAAACATGATAGGTGCTAGAAATTAATTAGACTACATGCATATTTTGTTGTTAGCCTATTTCAAACTTATTCTGTTTATGTTAGTGTCTTTGTACTATTAACGTGTGAAATTTAAACATTTAACATGGTATGGAAAATTTTATTCATTTTTTATTATTATTATAAAAAATATATATTTAAACTATTTTGAGGACTGTGTTTGTATTATTAGACTTGCATGCTATTAATACTTAATGATAATGCAATAATGTTAATGTGCTTAAAAAATTGTGATTGAAATATGTGCATTGTAAATAGATAAAAAAATAACATCGAAGCATTTATTGATGGCACTTGACTGTGATATGGTCTACAGTATTATAATAAAAATAATAAATTATTTTTACTTATACAAAAACAATTTTTAATTCAAATAATTTTAATGTATAATTTAAAAAAAAAAATTTCTGGTCATTTCTGTTTATTGGACAGACCGAAGTTTTGTTTCCTTGCCAAATCATCTGTCTCACCGAGTCCATTTTATTCTTGTAGAATTAAATTACTTGTCTTTTATATGTTTTAATATAGTTGTTTATAGAAAACTAGTGAGGAAAATGTATAGAAAGTAAAAGTCAATTCTATTTAGGCTTTGTGTTAATTTTTAAATCATTTAAAAAGGTTTACAGTTTGTATGCATTTATGAGTGACTGTTGAAAAATGTAGGCCTTTTTTATTTTTTTGAGTTTGTATTCATAGATGTAAAAATGAAATCATAATATATATTTTAGTTAAAATATAGCAACAGCTAAAATTATTAACATCAAGGAACCATAACTTCCCTTCTCTTTTAAGTGATAAATAAAAGTTGTCTCTCTTGGACCATAAATAAAATATTCGATCTAATCAAGAATGTTAGATAACTACCGTTAGAATTTTTGTTTCTTATATCCAAGTTTTAAAAATCTAAAATGGCAATTTAATTATAGGCGTGTTCTAGCGGTAGAGAGCTAGCCTGCCCACCCGAAAGTCTGACGGGTACCTAACTCACTGTAGGCTGGGCATAGTGCTGACCACTTTATCTCTCCATATGCCTAGGTGCATGAAACAGATGAACTCTACTTTGCCCCATGTGTTTTGGGTAAGAACGGGAAAAGATCATGAATTAAATTAATGAACTTTTCTTTATAACTCTGCCTCAGTCTTTTTATTTTATCTGAGACATTTATATGGATCATATTATTATCATATTATTGATAGCAGTATTTAGCAAATGTCAGTTAAATCAATTAGCCTATATGCATGTGTAATCAAATATAGAATAGTACAGACTTTTTTTTATTCTTCGTTCTTAATAGTAATGCCAGAAGGGCAGAGGCGTAGCGACCCTTCCCGGCGCCCGAGGACAAACTTTCGATTTGTTTGCACCCCCCCCCCCTCAAACTTTCGATTTGCACCCCCCTCCTATTTTGGCGCCCTCTAAGGTCGGCGCCTGGGGACATATGCCCCCCGTCCCCCTCGCTACGCCTCTGCAGAAGGGATTCCCCCCCCCCCCCCCCATCACAAGTATTACGTGTCAACTAGCTGTGCGCCATTGAAGACGTTGTCACCGAGATTTCAGCCTGCCTCTCTTTTAATATTTGCTTCGATAGCCTTTTGTCCAAAGTAAAAACAAACTCTTATCTAGCTCTGTGTTATTTTGTCCAATCAAGAACAAACTGCAAGGCAGTAGTTTTCTATTTTCTCACCTAGATGGGTCCCCAGCTATTGAGCCTTAACAGTCCGGGTGGTTCGAACTCGAGACTTTTCAATCTAGCAATGTATGGGCTTTACCGACCCAACAGGCACAAAGAGAAATAATTGACCAGTGGTCTGGACACCCAGACATAAGATCAGCCATGCTAATTATTATGTAGATGAGTTAAGTAAAAGCCAAATGGCAAGTCGCATGACCCAGTGACCTAGTCCCGGGCTCAGACATCCCCAGGTCAGTCACTCCATGATCCGCTTAGCTCATGATGGCGTGGCCCACAGGCTCTCACCTGGATGGCTCTCAGGGCGGAGCCGGGGCCCTAGCGAGGGTGAGCCCCAGGGGAGGGGCCCGAGGGTGGGGTTGGGGAACAAGCTGTCGTAAGACCATGGAGGATAATGTGGGGTGGGGGAGAGGCTATGATGGGGTGAGGGGGTTCCAGGGCGGATAATACTCTCGTGACTGGGGGGTGAGATCAGAGGAGGTGGGGGGGGGGGGGGGGCGAAAGAGTCTGCACGCAATCAACAGCGAACATCAAGGTTAGTTCATGAAGGTCTTAAGGCAAGCGTAGGTTTTAACCAGTGCTAAATCGCGTGATGTTGAAACAATATTTGGCTTTGTGGGCGGATTCGTCTTGTCGTTGTTGGTCTACATGCTTCAATTGATAGAGATTACCTGAATAAAAGACAGTAGGCTTAGTGGACTTATTAAGGTGTCTGTACACAACAAATGAGGGACGGGGTGGGGGGGGGGGGGTCGGGAGGGGAATTTGTGTTTAATAGGAGAATTTCGGGTTGTATTGCGTGTAAAATGGGTTCAAATGTTGGGAAGGGAGAGGGTGAACCTTTCAAAATGCCACAAAAATGTCGCAGAAAAAGTCACAATAATTACGATTTAAATTAATAATATTAAAACTAAATTAAATATTTGTTGTGGACATTAAGAATGTTCCTCAGAAAGCAAAGTTATTATCTGGCGACTCATACTTAACGTATTATGTAGTAGTTTATAATTATTATTCTTCACAATGACATATTAATTTTTAAAAATGAAAGCACAACTAAAAGTAGTTTGATATTAATGTTTTCCAACATGTTTACCCGACCCCTTTATATTAAAAAATACGTTTTGCCATTCACAACGTAAACCCGATGAGTTTTTTAAAAAAAATCCCAAAAAAAACAACAGACTACAAGTTATGGCCCCTAGTGTCTCAGACGACTATATCGGGCCAAATAATGGGACTACGCTAATTGGTTGAAAGCTTTCAGTGAGACAAGTGGCTGGATGGGGTTATTGATGGTACAAGCTGGGTCGGGCATGGACCATCTTAACGGGGCTCAGACAGGGGGAGACAGCAGGGTGGAAGTGGATTGATGGTGGAGTAGGCAAGGTGGAGGTGGCTTAATGGTGAAGTAGACAAGGTGGAAGTGGTGGAGTGGGCAAGGTGGAAGTGGCTTAATGGTGGAGTGGGTACGGTGGAAGTGGTGGAGTAGGCCCGGTGGAAGTGGCTTAATGGTGGAGTGGGCAAGGTGGAAGTGGTGGAGTGGGTACGATAGAAGTGGTGGAGTAGGCAAGGTGGAAGTGGTGGAGTGGGCAAGGTGGAAGTGGTGGAGTGGGCACGGTGGAAGTGGTAGAGTAGGCCCAGTGGAAGTGGCTTAATGGTGGAGTGGGCAAGGTGGAAGTGGTAGACTAGGCCCAGTGGAAGTGGCTTAATGGTGGAGTGGGCAAGGTGGAAGTGGATTAATGGTGAAGTAGACTAGGTGGAAGTAGTGGAGTGGGCAAGGTGGAAGTGATGGAGCAGACACGGTGGAAGTGGTGGAGAAGGCACGGTGGAAGTTGCTTAATGTTGGTGTATGTGAGGTGGAAGTGGTGGAGTAGACAAGGTGGAAGTGGCTTTATGGTGGAGTGGGTACGGTGGAAGTGGTGGAGTAGGCAAGGCGGAAACAGTGAAGCAGAAAATAGGGAAGTTGTTGAACAGGTAGGGTGGAAATGGTGGAGTGGACAAGGTGGAAGTGATGGAGAAGGCAAGATGGAAACTGTGAAGCAGAACATATGGAAGTTGTTGAACAGGTAGGGTGGAAATGGTAGACGTAGTAATTGTCCACTGCACTCCCCACATCAGTACCACACCCATAGTTTCTACCAGTCTAATTGTCCACCTGCCCGAAAGTTGTCTTTAAAAAAAGTTCTACCAAAAAATAGGAACCACAACTCAATAAAAAGCAAGAACCACAACTCAATGAAAAGTAAGACCGATAAGTCTTTGAGACTCAAGAGCCATAACTCTGGGAAAATCAAGAACCGTTACTCTGGTCAAATTTCAACGTCTGTTTTAGTGTTTACAACAGGGGGGGGGGGGAAGCTAACCCCAACATGCCGATCTCCACTTTTATTATCAACACCATGTTACCCTGTTAAAGAGAAATGCAAATGCCATTGCAACACTATTGATATGGGGGGGGGGGGGGGAGAAACATGTGATAGTGGAGGATGTGGAGAGGGCGAGGGGGGGGGGTGGAGGGTGGGAGGGGTCAGTCAACACCCATTGCATATTGCCACAGACTGTCCCGAAATAAAAAAAAAAATCAATACGACCGTTGGCCCACTCCACCCCCGCTCCCCCGCACATCATCTTCGTATTTATTACTGACAGCTCATCTATTTCCTTGAGCGAATAATCACCCACCAGTAGCGCTGCAATTTTCTGCTATGTCAACTATCGCGAGATCGGTCATACTTTGACCCCTCCCCCTCGACTCCACTGACTATTTGACCATTAAATACTACTCACCCCACCCCCTCCCTCCGACTCAAAACACACAGAAGCGACGTGCTAGACTCACTCACTTTTCTGTTCATCTTTAATTCCTACTTTTTAAACTCCCTAACACGAAAGTGGTTTGAGATTTTTTTAGTCTTTCAGACTTTTTGACCATCAAATTATTCTGCTCAGTCAATCTCCCCAATCGTCTCACCCCTCCCATATTAGAGATGTATCCTGTACCAGACTATGTAAATAACTGTTATGTAATACCACCCCTTCCCTCTTCACTGCCAGACACAAACTCCTACTATATCAAGTTAGCAAAAATGGGGGAAATAATTTTTTTGACTAGGAGTTCATATTTACATAGTATACTATTTTTTAAAAACAATTTAACGAAAAGAGATTAACTTTAGATTTTGACGAGAAAGTTTAAGAATGTAACATATTTTTGTACACGGTAACATGTTAATTAATGAGGAATTGTTGTGGGATGGAGGTAGCTTCCGGCGTTGTCAAATTGTATAGATATCTGACAGCTGCTCCTGCTCGTAATGAGATATTTATGTAATACAATAACACGTATGTAAGTGTACATATGTTATATATACGACATGGCGTAGTGGAGCATTTTGTTATTCGTCAGAATGTTGCGAGTTTGGATCCCGAACTAGAATTCAAGGGACGTCCAAAAGTCCATCAAACCGTAACTGATCAACGCATATCCCTTCAACCACCAATACCCGGGAAAAACAATTCATACTACTTCAATCGCCCCATGGACCATCTGTTATGATATATACAAATATATATATATATATATATATATATATATATATATATATATATATATATATATATATATATATATATATATATATATATATATATATATATATATATATATATATATATATATATATATATATATATATATATATATATATATATATATATATATATAAAAGAAATGTGTCAGTCATATGGCAAAGATTGTAAAAGAAAAGCCTAATCAGCTGATCAAAGAAGAACATGTTAAGACATTCGATGTGGACCCTTAACAGAAGAAAGAGCCTGGTATCCCCGGGGGCCTCGATACATCACCGCTGT